GCTCTTACCTTGCTCGTATCAACCTGATGATGGTGATGATGATGATACATTACGCTGCTCTTATTGTGCATGAAATTGTTCTGAGCTTACTCCATTTTTTGTTGGTGAGATTCCCCACCGCCTTTGCGATGTTTCAGCCCCTGGTTGCGAAACCCATTTTTAAGATGTGTACTTGGAAATATTTTGACCTTTTAAAAACCCGAATCACATCAGCCCAAACCAGTAAAACCCTTTCTCGTGTTTTGTAGAATCATTTGTAAAACCAAATCAGGAACCAGCTGCCGTTCTGCCATCCTCTTCCTCCTGCCACCCCCAACCTGCCCTTTAACTCCCACACTTCTTGTGCTGCACTTTCTGCTCTGGAAAATTGTAGGTCCACCAACCTGCACCTGCCTCTTGCGATGAGCAAGCTGAAATCTGAGCCATCAGAGACAAGCTTTTATACCCTGAACTTCTCAGATGGGCTAGAAAGACACAAGCACTCCAAATTTCACCCTCTGAAATCATGTTTGGAAAATCCAAGCTAGGGCCTCTTCTCAGGGGCCACTGCTGCTCAGAGCCAGCTCTGAAGTCACAGCATGTTTGGAGAAGCCCACAGATACTGGCACATCACATTTCCCTGGGGTTTCATCTGGTCATCCAAGGTTTCTGAACCAATAAGGGGTTTTAGCCCCACACGTGTGATCAAGCAGTTGCCCATATAATTCCACTGGTGGAAAGCTCCAGCAGAGATGTTAGCACCTGGATCCATGACTTCCTTAAGCCACTGCTCAGCAGGATGCTGGTCGCGAGACCTTGCAACAAAAGCCATAAGTGACAAATTTGCAGAGTTTTACAGTACTAATGCTTGTTATTGCTTCTCACAAAAGGTTACCGATTTTACAATAATCTTTACACTTTCAGCAAAACCGTGAACAGTATATTGGAGTATATTAAAAAGAATTAAAAAACATTTCACAAACCCCATTTGTTGCCATATGAAAGTCTTTCAGCAAGAAATGCCCACACCGGTATTCAAACATTGTTAAAAGTAGACTGATTTGTACTAATAAACTATGCAACAAGAGAGGTAACCAAAATAAAACTCCAGCATAGCTCTCTGTGCTCCTGCGCCGAGGACCCACGGGCCTCGGGAGCTCCGCTTTAGATGACTTAATTAAGAAACCGATCTTTCCAGAGCAACAAAAATAAAAGCTTTTATTTGTTCATTTGAATATAAAACAGGCGTTATCACAGATGTACAAAGCGTACTGGTGGTTTAACATACAAGAAGGTTGCTGTCCTTTGCACATAAAAATTTTTGTTTGAAACTGTGATTGGCTGAGTTACATGAATTTCTCTAACCAGTCACCACACTCTATGAAATAACGCTGCTAACATTCAACTGATAAAAGGGACAGTCTTCCCTTGGGTAAAGTGTCAAGCAGGATTAAATATATATAATAAACAAGCACCATGAGGAATCTGCTCCTGTTTGATTAGTTTTGTGTTTAAATGTTCATTGTGTACCCTCTTTTTTTTGTGCATGTGCATCAAGTTGATTACATGGTTTTGTCTGACTCCAAAAGCACAAGGTCACAAGACAAACATTTTATACATTCTCATGAATGGTTTATCTACAGTACAGTTTCTAATACAGAACAATCCTTCTTTATTGCTCAGTCTGATGGTGCTTATGTGTTTCCTTCCTTTTGCTTGCACAACAAAACCAGAAACTCAGTTTATCATTTCTCTTAACTCAGGATTTAACAACCACGGATGACAGGTTGCAGAAGAGAGCTGTTATTAACTGCGTTTCACAACTGCATTGCAGTTCTTTTATTCTCTACAAATGCAAAGTTGACTTCGTGAAGGTTAAAGTGATGCTTTGAACGACAGCAAGATTTGTTTTGCAGTACTGAGATCAGCGATAGCAGGACTTCACAAGTTAGTTCACACACTGCAATTATGTTTGTAATCAATCAACATCTTGTCTGAAACCTTACAACAACTTGCCATTAAGAACAGATTTTATTCTTTTTAGGGAGCAGAAAATGAAGTTGACAAAATATAGGATTGGTCTGCAGAGCATGAATGGGGCTATTCACAGGACAGTGAAGGCAGAAAGAAAACGCGTCTGACGTGGCAAGATGCTCTGTACTGTACATGCAGACTAAAACGTCCCTACCTTTTAAACAGATTTTAAACACTCAGCATCGAGACTCCCTTATACGTGATATAAACATGATTACACTTGCCCTGCCACAATCTTAGTCATGCATATCCGGTAATGAGAGCCAGCACATGTACGTCATTTGGGACAATAAGAAAAGCATTCTTGGACTGCAGCTGGTAAATCCCACTCTTGATCACAAACAGGTCAATTCAGTTACAACCACATGAAGGAGAGGGAAGGATTTAAAAAACAGGGGCATGGGGTTCAGGGAAAACAACAGAACTGGGGAATCAAACCTCTCTTTTATCCAAAGGTAGCAAAATGAAGGCAGCTGTGATGCATGTTTTCCTACTCTTCTCCCGCGACGGCCTCAGCCTGGAGACCGTGGGACTCCTCCGTTCTTTCAACAGGCAGATTGGTTCCTCTGATGTTTCAATGCTGTTAGGGACTAGTTAGCAGATGCACGGTTCGTGCCAATTCGCTTGTAGTGACTGTACACTCCTCTCTGCTAAGGAATAAATTGAAGACCACGAAACAATCGTTTCCTGTAAATGTAAACTGGATGCACTGGCCACTGAGCTACGTGTCCTAGCTGAGAGGCAAACTGATAACTCTGCAAATAACCCCAAAACATTTCCTTATAGCAATAAAAACACCAACTAAAACAATGAGAAAAATTGTGCAACAAAGTTCTGCAGCTAGACAACAGTGCTATTCCTCAACCTGCCTTTTCTAAGTCTAACAAGTGTATGCACATGCCAGCACGAATATTTATTGTTGCCTCCATGGCAAAGAAAAGAAAATTACTGTAGTGCATTTTTAGTCTTAAATTCATTCACTGCCTTAAAGGCAGCAATAATTCCACTTGCTGGTATCTAGAGGATTCTTTTTGACAGGGATACTTAGCAATCCAGGATTGCTTTTTTTGTTTTTTCTTCCAAAAAAATTGTGAGTAACATTTGATTATCTACAGTGGGAGACACCATGCAAGTGACAAGTACTGCATTTTAAACTTTAAAATCTTTTGTCATTAGTGAATTTATATTTCATATATATATATTTGATGTGATACTATCCACTCAAGATAATACAACACTTTGTTTTTATATTAGCAAACATTTCAAGAGATTAATATTCTTGAATGTTTCTTCTCTTTTATACTTCTAAAGAGATCAAAATAAATTAAACGTTTTGTACATAATTACAGAAGAAGTAGTTAACTTATTTTATCTTTTAGTTTAGTACAAAGATATTTGCAAGTTCATCGCCGAAATACACCTTATTTATAAATTTCTTCCATTCTAACGCTAACAGCAAAGGCTCTTTGGCCTTTGGGCTTTCAGCATCTCTGACAGAAAGCTGCAAGATTTCTAATTGAAAGGTGCTACTTTGGGTATTCTCCTCGTACCACTACATAGATTCCTAAGACGTGGGATCTAAAATGGCTTAAGTTAGTAACGGATCTGTATTCATCAGCTCTTTATGACACATTAAAACAAACGAAGAAAACAATTATTTGTATTAGTATGCAAATTGTTTGAAAAGAATCCATTTGGAGGGCAGAATAAAAAACAAAAATCTACTTCAGCTTACTTAATGTAAAATACAAAGCCACATTTACTCAAAAAAGCAGTATTGTCCAATAAGCAAAAAGAAAAGTTTAAAATGGGCTTTTCCAACACACCGAAGGGCCTTACCCCAGAGTCCTTCTTGTCTAAAATTTAGTGGTAAAAGAAAACATTTCACATTTGATTTCCTGCCAATCGTGACTGCTTTGAAAAGTCGCAATAGAAACAGTTCCATTCTGATGAGTGTCAGCATCTTATCTGCACACTTTTTAGTGGACACCAAAAAATTTTATACATCTATAGTAAAGTCCATGGAAGCTTTAAGGTACAAGACTACATGTTGTAGGCCACATAGATGGGATCTAGCTGGTCTGCCAAAAATCCATCTCGTAGGTGCATACGTTGTTTCTCTCCACGGGAGTTGATAGGAATTACACCAATGTCCACAACCACCACCACCCCTACAATCAGATAGTGTTCCTCCAGGACCACGTTGGTGACCAAAGGAACCAGGTCCAAAGCTTCTTGCTCTGATCCATCCAGCTCAACTACAACGACCAATAAATTTGTCCAAGTAAACACCGCACTGAAACGAAAAAACAAACGGTATTAGTGGTGTTTTTCTTTTTAACCCATTTTATTTTTCACCCTTTTCATTCCACCTTGGTTACCTTTTGTTTCAGCTCCTTGGGCTCCTTCTGTATATTCACCACAGAGTGTAGGTAGTGAGAGACAACTTGTCTGCAGGCAGGGGCAGAACAACTGCTCTGCTAGCTCTCTACTATTGCTGCAACACCAAGTATTAGGCTAAACTTCACACAAACTCGAGTCTAATCCTTGCCTGTCATGTTGGGAGGTAGTTAAGACAACACGCTGTTCCCTCTGAAGCCAGAGAACTGTCACAGCACTGCTGTGCCTATGGAGGCATGCATGAGTGATGTGTGCAGGGAGGTGTCTTCTCTGGGGTTTTTTTGAAGAGCAGCCCAGAAGAGCAAAGGAGATTAAAAGAGGAGGTTACCAAAAGAAACAGCAGGAACACAGCCCAAGCTGAAAGACCTTTGGGATAAACTCTGCCTAGCAAAGGGGTGTGGAGCCCTGGGAACATTTATGTAGCATACTGCAGGCTGCATGGAGGTCCCCAGCTGGCTGGAGAGGGGGCTTCCTCAGTACATGCCTTCTGGACTGGGCTGGCTGCTGGCCAGGCAGGTCAGAACTCAGCACAGAAGAGCTGTGACTCTTCTGGACCAGTTGGTTTATGCAGAAATAAGCGGTGTCTCCATCTGTGTTTTATTTCTGCTGGGTTTAAGGGGCCAGTAGTTTTTACATCCCTTATTAACAGGTGAGATCGTCAAGGGAACACTACTGTCACCTGTGTCTCTCTTTACTAAAAACACCTGTGTAAGAGTCCAAAATTTTGGTTAAGCCCTTGAGCTGAAGCAGGTAAATTCTGGTTTCTGCTACTGGGCATCTTTTCTGGCTAAGGAAAAATGCATTTATCTTTCCAATTATGGAGGCTGGGATGGTATGAAAGTTGGTGTATGCTTCCCTCCATCCTCTTCCCCACTTACATACATCTCCAAAGCCCGTGAGGTCTCACAGGTCAGCAGGACTGAGGCTCCACAAAGGGCAATCTCATTCTTCCTTGTACAAGTGATGCTTATTTCTTCTTCTAACTTATTCCATAGCATAAACAGTGATATTCTACACATGTACCTCATACATCAAGCCCTGTACTTTACCCTGCTTTACCTTATAAAATCAGGGGATAATTTCCCAGAACTGTCTTGAGTGTAAGCACCTGAAAGTTAGAATATATTATGTATATAAGCCAAATTCAAGAAGAGCTCCTTACCCTAAGGTCAACACTTGATTGAGACAGAAGTACGCTGTTTCAGTCTACCAAGACAGTTCTGAAAAACCTTGTACTCTGGTAACATATCTTACTTTGCCCAAAAGTTAGCTATGAAAATGTGCTCTATGTTGATGTTTAATAGAATGGATTTTAGGAGAAAAGTACCTAGTGTTAATAAAAAAGAAATCATTCTCAGATCCTGCCAAAGTACTATTTGATTGAATTCTTACATGCTTATCGATCTGGAAAACTAATGGGCAGCCAAAAAGCAAAGCTCTGCAGGCTCCTTTTGACTTGGTACTGCTACAAAATGGATTTTAATTTGGAGCTATGTTTTCACAGGCATTCTAGAAAATTTTGATTGATGTTGAACATCAACAAAGTGAACATTAATGTTAACTGGTCTGCGCAGGTCACCATCTCCAGAGTGGTCCTAGAATTTTTATGGGTTGCTGCATGCACATCTAAATTAGTATTATATATGTTGTAACCAAAAAGCCTGGTGTCCTGGGTTTAGCAGTAGCAGTCATTTTTCTCTTTCTTGGTAGCTGGTGCAGTGCTGTGTTTCAACTTTTGGGCTGGGAACAGAGCTGAAAACAATAATGTTTTGGTTTGGCCAAGGATTTTGTGAGCCTCATGCTCTGCCACGGAGGAAGGGAAGCTGGAAGGAAGCAGAGACAGGACACCTGACCCAAACTGACCAAAGAGGTATTCCATACCACAGCACATCATGCCCAGGATGTAACTGGGAGTTACCCGGAAGGGCTAAGTGGACTGCAGGGTTGGAGGAGGTATCGGTTGGTGCTTGGTCAGGCTAGGGGGAGCGAGTTATTGGTCGCCTGGTGATGAGGTGTTGTATTCTCTTCCCTTGTTATTTCCTTCATCATTATTATTATTAGTGGTAGCAGTTGTGATTTGTGTTATACCTTAGTTACTAAACTGTTCTTATCTCAACCCGTGGGAGTTGTGTTCTTTATGATTCTCCTCTCTGTCCCTCTGGGAATAGGGGGAGGGCAGGAAGGGGGGGGAGTGAGTGAAAAGCTGTCTGGCTGGGGTTAAACCACGACACCTGGGGAGGTTTTATTAAAAAATAAGTTCGCATTGAAACCGTGCCTTACACCTACTGTTACCTTGTTACACGGGAAAGCAACTAATGGCAAGATTTGGGAGCAGCTCCCCAAGCTTAGGAGAAGTTAGTTTTTCCTGAGTTCCCAGGACTGGTTCCCCAAACCTTCATGAAGCTTCTATTAAGCCCTAGAGCCACTGACATTCCTAAGAAGATTTCAAATTAATGTAAAACTCATTTCATATATCATGACACTAACTCACTGGTGACCACTGCAAGTAAAAAGAAATACTGTGATTTATGTTCTCACCGGTTGAGATTAGGATAAATTGGGCAGCATGTATCACACATGAATACATTAACTCTGCAGCCCAGATGAGTAAGAAAAACCCAAACCAAAAAGCTAGGGACCCAGGAAGGCTGCACTTTCTCAGGAAACTATGGAGTCACACCCAACAGCTGCAACACAGCCAGTGCACTGAGACTATAATGGTCCCTCCTACTACTTCCATCCCACCAAATACTTCGAGAAAAGCAAGAAAATTCCTTAAACACCTCCAGAAACAGAGGCTCATAATGGTTTTCTTCTCCAAATACCTTCTGTAGCTTTACCAATGTGTCATTATGCAGAGAGAGAAAACCACTTCTTAGCAAATCCCGGGAAACTATGTTCTGCTCCTCTTTCAAGGGTTTGAAGTTCAAATGAGTCAACAACATGCTTTAATTAAAACACATACACGTACGTTATTTCTAAAGGTACTCTGCAATATTACAAGCACTGTAAAAAATGCCTGGCATAGTTATACCTCACAATAAAACCAGATGGTGCCACTCTTTTGCTTGTTATGCAGAGACACAGGAGGTCCAGAGTTAGAGGCTGATGATTTTGTGCTAAAATTTCTTAAGAGACAAGAATAATTCTAAATGGCCTTTTAGATCTGATCCTCAATGACAGAAGTTGCACAGCAGGATCACATGTTAGTCAACAACTCAGTACTATTGATTGCTACAAAAAAGGCATGTGTTTCTTAAAGCTGGGGCTATTTTTACTGTCTACAGACTGGACATACCTAGTACTCAGTGTTTGTGATAGGTATTGATACAGTTAAATCCTTCATTGGCCATTGTAACCAAAACGACAGCAGCCAACAAGAAGAATGGAGGCTCATGCACCCATCCAAAGAAAAGCATATACAAAGTATATATAAAGATTTAACTGGCTATTAAAGAGGGGAGAGTTCAAACTTAAACATGGGAGATTTATGTTAGATATAAGGTAAAAATTCTTCACTCTGAGAGTGGTGAGACACTGGAACAACCTGCCCAAGGAAGCTGTAGATGCCCCACCTCTGGCAGGGTTCAAGGCCAGGTTAGACAGTGCTTTGAGCAACCTGGTCTAGTAAGTGGTGTCCCATGAGCTCACTTTGAGGCCACACAAATCTCTGACAAACAGGTAGTGCTGAACACGTCAATTTATGAATTTGTGGCCATCTTATAATAGAGCTGCCCTAAATAATAGAATGGTTTGGGTTGGAAGGGACCTTTAAGATCATCCAGTTCCAACCCCCTTGCAATGGGCAGGGACAACTTGCAGTAGACCAGGTTGGTCAAAGCCCCAACCAGCCTGGCCTTGAACACTGCCGTAACTTGATCAGAAAATTTTCTATCCACTGCTGATAAGAGATGTGACACATCTTCAAGGAAAATGTCATGGCATCCTCGAAGCGTTCACACTGGTCCATATGAAGACACAGAATCCACCACCCTGTGTAATGGCTGGCTGGAACAAGGCCATACTAGCAGTGATGATGACTTGAGGGAGGAGGCAATGAGGCAAAGCCTCAGTTACAGTCAGCAAAGCAATTAACTGCCTTAATTTTAACAGATATTTAAGAAAAAAAGCAAGGTGCTCAGACTAAATAAACCAATCCAGTTGCTGTGCTTCATTCTTCATTATTAAGGAGTGCTCCAGGCCACACCTTTGCAACCAGGATTGAAAAGAGAAATGGAGAGTCACGTCTTATACTTGCTAAATTGCCCTGGCTGTTGCAACAGGTTCATTTTAGTTGAAAGAAAAAGAGCTGAGCTGAGGTTATATCAAAACAAACCAACCACCTGACTCAGTCTTCTGATGCAAAAATAATGAAAAGCAATTTGTTCTCATGTCGGCCACAGGAAATGATTACCTGCTGTGTGCATTTGATGATGTGATACATTGATTAAGACAACACCATTACTAACTCATTGATTTACTGCTTCTATTTCCATTGTGACCTTGACTTGATCACAGCTTGATTGATTAATAACCAATTCAAAAGTAACAGTGTGTTCACTAATGAAGTTTATCAGTGTGTTCATTTATCTGAAATGTTTGCTTGCTTATTACTCTTTTTAATAACAGCACTCCTAAAGCTTGAACTCCCACCAGTTTGCTTCCCCTGGTAAGAATATAAAACTCAAACTCCAAGAAATAGCTACTGGCCTACCTGAGCTGTTTGGGTCTCTCAAATTGCAAGTCTAATCCTTCACTTGTACTTAAAACCACACACAAAACCCCAGAAATATCTTGAATGATCTTACCAGAAAACAGTCCTTTCCCGTTAAAACTGTTTGTGAAAAGTTTAATCCTTAGGACATATTTACAGTGGGGTTATAAATCCTGTGACCATCCTGACAGGCCATTTCCTGGCTCAATTGCAATATCCAAGAAACCCCCCCCGACATTATAGATATAAGGGCCCTGGTGTTACATAATCCTTACCATTCTGTGATGCTCTTGTGTGCTCTAATTACAGAGGTTTCAATATCGATTGGATGGTATCTCATCCCTCGTAACTCCATGGCTTCATCTAATGCACCCACAACATAAAGTGCATCATGGCGTTCTGGTTGAAAGGAAAAAAAAAAATAGATTCTATTCTCCAGCACATTAAATGATACAAATGCTCACATTAATAAATAAGTAAAGCACGTATAACATGGGTAAGTTATCCTCAAATTTTTGAAACCCCAAATGATTTCCAGACTAATGAGAATTTTCCATTACTGAAGTGCAATGCAGAGCAGAAAGCAGAAGAAAGGAAGGCAGAAACACTGTTCCCACTTGAAGAAGAGAAAGGTGGAAGTCTTTATCCAAAGACTGGCATGAATTCCTGTTTTTCTCCCACGTGGATGCAGAACAGACTCATTCTGTTTTAAGGCGCCCCAATTAGACAATAGTCTCCTTGCTTCTTTCTCTTTCTTTTGAAAGAGAAAGGATGGATTGAACCCTAACAGTAGGGATGATACTCTTCCAGTAGCTTTGAGATGGTACTGATGCTAAAGTTGTATTGCAAAAGTGTTTATTGGTAAATTAGGAATATGGACTCTGATAGCAAAAACCTCATTTTTTATTGACTCAAGAAATAAAAGAAGCTGAAATTACACTTAAAAATATATATTAGGCTGATAATAAATGACGGCATGCTATCCATAAAGAAATAATATTCACTAATAGACTTAAAAGCAGATAGCTGTCTTTTTTTACATTAACTTAGATAGTTACACCCTGGTAATGTAATGGCAGTATAACCTCTACCAGTAATAAAAGGCAGAGGGCTTTTTGCACTGGAAGCTGAAGCTGTGAGAACAGAGGCTTAGCATCTCTTTGCCCAGAGAAGATGTAAGCCATTTCAATGCTTAAGTTGCAATATCCTCAGAGAATCCTGAATTTTCTCAAGGCTGGGCTATCATTATGAAATGAAAAAAGCCTGCGCAACCAAAAGCAAATCTCTTCATGAAGATGCTAACAGAAGGACATGGGCAGCAGTCGTAATCCACAGTGATTACTGAAAAGCTTTCAGATTTGATGAATTCACTCTTTGGCTGAGTAGCTGCTATTCTAATTGCATGGATACTGGGCCCTGGGATCACTCACAGAGGTACTCCCGATGTTGCTAGAAACCACATTTTGCGAAAAACCTCGACTGCCACCATTCATGGCACTGTGCTCTGCAAAAATCACAGGGAAGTAACATAATCCCAAGCAGTTTTGTGTGCCTGGTGGTGCTGGTTTGCTTACATGTGTAGACAAGATAAGGAATGTCATAAAAACAAGGAGACCCTGTACCTTCCCAACAGAAACCCCAAAACCCCATAGCTTCTCCTGCAGGCTACTGTTCGCATTACATTTCAGTAATTATCCCCACAGGTTTCAGGACAGGGAAATCTGAGAAACGGACAGCTTCTGTAAGTAAGTTTGTAACAGAGGAATTATCAAAGAAAGTCGCTGTCACAGGAGGGACAGGGCTCCCACTCACAACACAGCTTTCCCTATCCGCACAAATGTGTTCCTCCAGGTAGGACTTCAAGAGCAAATGATGGCATTTTAAGCTGCATTTCATATTTTTAAAGCTAAAGCACTTGGCACGCTAACAGTGCCAAAAAGCCAGTGGTAGAGGGGATTTATAGCACCTGAGGTACAGCAAAGGAAAAGCAACTGTTTCAGCAGGGAAATCTTGCCCTCTTTTTTAGTTTATCTTGCCCTCTTTTTTAGTTTCTGATTACTTTAACTAAGGCTTTTTTGCAGTCCTATGGGTTTCACAAATTGTGAAATTGGGTAGAGCAGGCCAAGAGACAGAGTGTCAGCCTCAAAATAATCCAGATCATATGGACAGGCACAGATGATAAGAAAACTCTTACCTCCATTTGCATCTGTGAGTTCTGTTCGCCTCAGGAATCCCAGATAGCCAGTTCGAGCCCAAATAGTCTGTGTGTCTCCAAAACTGAGTCTTGAATTAAAATGATCTGACTGCAAAGACTCATCTCCATAGATGGTAAAATACCCACTGGCATTGTGAGTGCTGTGAACCCATATCTAAGTTCAAAGAAATGATACTGGTATTAATTAAAGTAGCTTTTCAGAAAGAGGCATTATTGCAAATTCTAGATGCAAATATTTTTAGTCATAGCTAGGTAATACACTAACGCCTTTTAACACTGTTTCTGAACCTGTCACTGACCCAGTTTCAGGCACAGAGACCTCAGTCTAACCTTGCTGAAGTCAGAGGGTAGAACTGTCCCTGGGGGAGAGGGATGCTGGACTCATGACTCCAAGGACACCTGCCTTGCAGCCCTCTGGCCTCAGGTTAGCTAAAGACCTGCACGGGTTCCTTGCATGGCTCTGCTAGCTCTGGTGTCTGCTTGGTTATGGCAATTTTCAAAAGAGCCTATAGACCACCGTGCTCTTTCCACAGTCCCCTCCTCCTGGTTCAGTTTATTTACTCCAGCAGAAAGTAAATCCTCTACGAACACCAGACACACAAGATTATTTTAATGGGTGAGGCCAGGGACCTTCACCTACGGAGAAGGATTCATTTCACCTAACTCAAGGCATCATGGAAATGTTTGTAATTTCATAGTAACAAAATCTTACAGATGAATCTCCCAGATCATGGTTTTAATTATGACTAAGCAAATTCTCAATTTTGTTAATTAGATCTTTAATTGCTCATTGAAAATCATGTTTTTTTCTCTCTCTAGGAACATAAAATAAATTGGAAAAACATACAGCCTTGCTCAACTCAGCTAATGAGAGTACTTGAGTGTGTTGAAGCACAATGAGTATAAAGAGAATAGCACTAGAAACCCATCTAGCTGAAATTAGACTAATCAATAAACTTATTTTATCATGTAAGTTTTCATCAGAATTAGTGAAGCAACAAGTAGAAGATACAGTTAGAAATGCAGATTCATTTCAATTTTTTTAACAAACTTGAGCTATTATTAGTTTTTATCAAGTATGTTACTAACAATCTTAATGACACAAATATAATCTTACATACTTTATATACTGTAAAGATCTGCAGAATTCACAATTTTCTTACCCAGGCATCTGGTAAGACATATTATAGGAAACCACTGGCATACACGATCAGCTTTATCTCTGCAATTCAGTTCAGAGCATACAAAGGTTAAGTTTTCATTACTCACCTCACCAAGATGGGAATCTCCT